TTAATATCTTTTATGTTTAGCTTTGTTGGCAATATCATTTTGGAAGTGTCGAGCTGATACTTCTTCCCAAAACAGAATCAGTTCTTCGCTAAATTTGTAACATGCATGTATAATCTGAGCCTGGTTCCAATGAAAAGGGATTTTTAAAATGTTCATAAAACACAATCAAGATAAGTACTTTTAATCCTTTTGCCATAAGAAACATTGTTTCAGAAGCTCTCTCTTCTTCCGCTGGTGGAGCAAAAATTAAATAAGCAGTAAAACCAAATGTGTTCATTGCAGAGACAGAATTCAACATTTGTGGCAGAGAAAGGTAAATATTTGTTTTCTTCTGACTAGCAGCCTTTTTATTCTCCTTACAAAAATATCTCAAACTAGATGAAAATTTTTTCACTGAAAAGTGCTGTTACTTCCATTTTGATTTGTTTGTATCAAATTAGAAATGTTCAACGGAAATACCTTTAAAATACCTTTAAAAGATTAAGAAACATCTTCAAAGATATTTGGCAACCTTTCCAGCAAACTTTGCAGGAAGACTAGCAGTGCTGTTTTGGGAGCACCTGGGAAGTAGTGATAGTTCTTTTATTTCTTCCTCTTCATCATAAAATCTAATTTACAGTTTTGGTGTTGTCCTCCCTAACTTTTCCCATCGGTGTACTTAGTTTCCATTTTCACCCTAAAAAAACCTGTACAAAAAATATCTTTCAAAAATGCAGGAAACTGTAACTACTACCATTTAAAATGTAAGAAGGAAGAAAATCTTTGCCAGAGTAGGCCTGATACTTTTAGGAGAGTAATAAGATATTCAGCAGAGACACTGGATTTATCTCAAATGATCATCACTCTCCTCCCATCCCGGCCTAATCGGCCCAGAGGCTTTCATAGGGATAAACTGATACCTGACAATGCATGTATTCTTTCTCTGGAAACATTTTCCCTGGTGACTCAAAATACCGTGTTTGGTACAATGCACAAAAAGGAACAGATAAGCTAACTTGCTGTTGAATTTCGTAAGTAGAAGACTGACATCTCATGGTCTTAAAAGACTGGGGTCATGACTGCTAGGTATACTGGTTTGCTATAGCAATCTGTGTCTTGCTGCAGTGGGTGCTGCGGCATTGTCTATAGGCAGGGGTTGGAGTTGGAGGTTAAAGGCCAGAGCTCCAGCCATTTCACCGGTGCCCGGGCCCCGTCTCTCCCATAGGGAAGGCGCCCCTGAGGCACAGCGAGGGAGACGCCAAGTTCCCAGACTCTAGGCTGAGTCTAGATCTGAGTGGGCTGATCCAGCATTTTCACTGCACAACTGAGACAGTAAATTATAATCTGAGCCTTACTCCCCCCAGCTTGATGCTCTTGGAGGCTGGAAGCTGATTTGTAAGATAAAGGACATGCCACCGACCCAGGAAAGTCATAAATGCCAAGGAAGAAACACCAAACACACCAGAATCCAAGGGGAGACTTCCCTTGGTCTGCATGCTCCTATTTTCAAAATGTTTTCTTTTTACAATTCAGAGGGGCCAAAGTAACAAGATATTAGTGCTGGGGATAGGGTTTTAAAAAATGTACATGATTTAAGTTAATCCTCTTTGCATCAGAAGGAATCTGGTGTAGCAGATAAAACATAGTGACAGATTTCTTCTGCCTCTCTCCACACATTTGCGTTAGAGAGAAAGCACCGGCCAGGAACAGGCTGCTCAAGGGACTGAGGAAACAGAACTGGCAACTGTTCATTTTGCATTTTTGCTGGCTCATAAGGCTTGTGTACACCAGCTTCTCTAAGCAGAACAGCAGGAACAGTAGAAATGGACGGTATTTTCTAATTCTAAATTTAGAAACAGAAAAAGCAACACTATAGCAGCCATGATTTATTTTGAGAATTCCTTTCACTCTGCTACTGGGTTAGCAAGCATTAAGACCTACAACCAAAGAAAGCAGCCAGGTCTCCAGAGTAGCTTTCTGATGACTGCTTGCTAGAGCAGGCTGAAGACTGCCACCCCACTCAAAATCCCAAAGCAGCAGTTGGGTATGCGATGCCATGCAGCCTTAAGGTAGCTAAAATAATGCAGAAACTGCAAATTTTTTGTAATTTTGTTCCTAACTTTTACATCAAGTACTTAACCACATGCTTTCTCGGTGTAAACTTGAGACCTTTCCTTAAAGTTTGTCTGGTGGTAGGGCTTCCAGGTTAACGCACAGGCAGGAGGGACAGAACATCCATTTATGAGTGCACCAGGCACAGCTGGCAGGTGTTGGTGGCAGCTGTGGGCAACCTGTGTGGGACCAGGTCTAGGACTGCCCTAAGCATTTGTTTATTTGTTTGCCTTTTCAACACCAGAATCAGTAATTAAAAGCTTGTTAATTGCCAATAAATCAATTTCATGGAAATTCCCCTACATGAAGCTGTTTTGTTGCCCGTGACAAGAAGATAGGTCAAAGGTCCTTTAAGTGGTCTTTTCTAAAGGCCTTTTGCTGGACCGAGTGAGGAAGTTTTTTCCTTCATTGGAAGGGTATATGGAGTCCCCAAATAGCCAGCTTGTTGCTCCCTTGATCAAGGTGCTGTGCTGCTGCCATCAGTGACTCGCTTGCTTTCCCAGAGTGAGCTGTCATCTGCCTCTTCCATGAAGCAAAAGCTCTGCAGGCTCACTCATTAGCAAGTGAACATTTACTTGAAGGAGTTAAAAAAGTGGCAGACAATTGTAGAAGACTCAGATGAAGGGAATGGGATGTATCTGTACTGAGGTACATCCTGCAGAACTTGTTTTGGTAAAGAGTCCAAATACAATGTTTTGGCCAAGTACGCTTATCAGGCTTATTGACCCTAATAATTTTCAAATGAAGGCGAAAATGAATCCCACCCTTAAGGCCCAGGCCACAGAGACTTAAGGAGAAATAATTTTCTTTGTAGTGCATTTTTGGGTCTCTTGTGACATGATGCACAAGGGAAACAGCTGCAGATAAACAACATTTGCTGTATTTTCCATTCCTTGAGAAAATGGTGATAAATCTGGCTCCACCTGGGTTTAAGGATTTTGTTTTGCTCTCTCTCTCTCTTCAGATGAAGTAGATAATCATTTGGTTCTGCAGCATTCACAGCTCTTGTTTACTCTTGGTCCAAGAAAAGAGCTCTCTCCATACCCAGGTGCCCAGGAGATACAGAAATTTGCATGGCCAGTAAAGCAAGACATTTAAGTTCGAGAAAAAGGTACTAGTCTCAGAAATTGCCTCAAGAAGTTCTTGGTTTTCCACGTGAATTAGCTGATGTTCCCTGCTCTTTCACTAAGACAAGAAATCAGCAAGTGCCAAGATCAGCACCAAGATCAGACTTGCACCAGCATGAAAATGAAGGCAAAGGGGCTAATCTTCACAGAGCTTTGGCCTTATGAGGTTCTTTCCACTGCCCAGCAATAGACTTTATGTTGAAATTATTTTCAAATACATTTTGCTAGAGTTGCTGAAAATGATACAAATATCGTTTCCATGTCTTTTGATGGATTTATATTCCATAATTTTTATTGGCATACTTTTATCGGTATTGGACCCCATGTAAATCTTTAGCTTCCATAAAACCCTGAGGAAAGTAGTTCCACAGCTCAATTCCCTTTGCATGGGAGTGGCTTCCTTTTGTTTGCTTTGAATATGTCACCTGATAGCTTCCTATGATGTCCCTTATTTCTTGCTTTGGAAAAGGTGGTGGTCAACCATTTCTAAAGATGTGTTTCTTTTTTTATATAGGGCTAGTTCCAGGTCTTAATTTACAGGTGCAGGTGGAATATGTTTGCATGATTTTCAGTAATTCCAATAAAAATTCTCTCATGCCCCTGTTGTCACCAGGTGTAACTGAGCAGAAGTTTAGTGATGTCTTCTCTTCCTCATCCTTTTCTTAGTGACACCAAATAATGTACTCCATAAATTAAAAGAAGCACAGTGACATCCTAGGAAAAGCACTGGACTGACATGCAGAAAACTTTTCTTCTTCATGCTTCTGTTGAGTGATCTTAGGCCAAATAGATCTTGCTTCTGATTCCCCACCCAATATGAATAATGATATCTGTTGTAAAACAACATGATATCCATAGATGAAGAGCCATATATACCATATATGAAGACCTAAATGTTATTACCACATGAATTCAGAAATCTGGGTCTTTCATTTTATCAGGTGGGTTCGTCCAGAAAAATACAAACTCTTAAGATCAAAGATGTGAAGAAGGAACAATAGTTTATTCGTACTGCCAGAGAAATCTTGGTGGAAACAACTGACTAAAACTCTATACCATTTTCCCAAGGAAAGTGAGGGCTTGCAGCTTGGTGTTAGCTGAGAAAGAACTGGAAATACTAATGAAAAAAACCCACACTGGAAATAACTTTACTGTACAGAATTTTTTAAATACAGTTAAATACATTGTACACAATACACTCCAACTCAGAAGAAAATACAGCTTTTCCCAGGAGTATTACTCTACATTGAATACTTTTTTCCTACAGTTATTAATTTTCTCATTTTTTCCAACATAAAGAAAGCGTATCATTTTACGTAGCATATATCATAAAGCTGGGATTTACAAAGAAGCTAAAAGAAATTAGGTATTCAGAATCCCAATGATATTCCCAGTTCATTTGTAAATCCTACTTCTGCTGTTCTGACTAGTAAAACCAAGAGTTACTTAGCTGCTTTTTGTACTTTCTGAATTGTACAGATGCATATTGGTCGTATCAAAAACATCCTCTCTCTACAAAGCCTGCACTGATGTTCACTGCTAATGCATTTAAAGGAAAATAATTTTTAACTTTGCATTGATTTGCAGCAATTTTTGTCTTCAGGAATCAAACACCCCACTCCTTTCTAAATAGGAATGTAATTAATTCCTCTTGTTTAACAATTAATTAGTTCACAGTTTCTACTTATATATTGAACATGCATATTGACAGTTCTTTATGTGAAAAGGAAAGACATGAGGAAACAGCGCACATTACAAAGGTAAGTCTTAGCAACATCATACAGTGTGTTTCATGAGAGAACTGTACTCTTCTACCAGTTTCTTCTTCTCATTTAATTTTTCCAGTATGGCATCCATTAAGTAAGAGGCAAAAGGAAACTGAAAAAGAAACATAGGAAGAAAAATGATAATTGAATTTTATTTTCTTCATGTGAAAAACATTTATTAAATATCTTTAAACCATTAGATTTCACTTAGTTCTGACAACTACCACACATGCACACATCTGATCTTTAAAGTTCACCCGCCTGGTTAGTGTCTGAAAATTTGCTCTCTATCATAAAAATGATAAAAGAACAGAGTAAAATGAAAAAAGATAAACGCCTTATTGAACAATTCATGCTTTACTGACCGTGTTAATGATGTAAACTGCAGTACCAGCATCTCTGTCATTTATCTTCAATCAGCTAATCAATAAGAGGTTACAGTCAACTCTAGGGCATGCAGAAATGGTAGTGTATGTTCACTACTCTCAGGAGGAAGAGACATAACTACTAATACCGCTCTCGGTGCTGTGGCAACTGCCTTAGACTCACACGTGAAAACTTGTAAATAAAAAAACCCAAAGCAAAACAAAACACAAACCCCAAAAGCTCCAATTGCATTGACTGGGATATTACACAAACAACTGCTCCTCTAAAACATGATACCAAAAAATTGTATTTACATATTTACAGAGAAAAGTGAAAACCTCTCTTTTGTATCTCCTCTGATATAAAAGATGTATTTGCACAATCGATGTCTTCAAAGAAATAGATTTGGTGTATTTTTCAGTGTCATTACTTCAATGCTTAAGGAGTTTTTTTGCACAGTCTTGGTGCATCAGTGCACTGTATGCTGGGAAGCACTTCTGGAGGTGTTACCAAACACTAGTCATTGCAGCTCCACGCAGAGAGTGGTTGGTGCTGCGCCAGAGGAGAGCCAAACAGTTTTCATTCCCCCTTGGAAAGTCTCTGACAGCTTTACAGAGCTCTGTCAGCTTTCTTGAACTCCTGGTGAGACCACTGGTGACCAAGGGGTCAGTCCCACACCAGAAGTAACAACTGATGCTCATATCAGGAGACATAATTTTATCTTCATATGGTCACCAGAAATAAATTAAGTAAAATATAGCAGGTGATGAGCAGGCCAATCACCAGGTTTCTCTGCTTTTCACAACTTGTACTTCAAGGCAACACTTTTGCATCTAGAACCACTCTCTTGTTCCACACTCGAATATCGCTGCTCTGATTTTACTTTTTCACTTCAATATTCCATCTTAAAGAGAAAACTATGGTACTTAGACCAGATAGAGTACTTCCTGTTTCCTAGATATATGAAACAAAAATGTAAAACAAGCAAACAAAAAACCCCAGACATAAAAGTACATCAAATACAAATCCCGGTGTAATGTCTGAACTGATATACAGATACGAATCTATATACTGATATTTATAATTACTAACAAGTCAGAAAAAATAATCTACAATGATAGCAAGGAAAATCTTGTTAATAGCAAGCATCTGTCATGAAGTGACTGTAGTGGCAATCCTACATGTTGCTCAACAGTCACTTTGCAGTTACAGAAAAAGGACAATAATATGCATTATTTCCTTTCTCTACAGGAAAGGGGATTTTGAAGGGCTCATACTTGCTGGCCAGACACATCTCCATCTGTCATAAATAACTTCTGTCTATGGTAAGAATTTTCTAGTAGTCATCTACACCTGTCAGCTTTCTCCTGTACACTATTGTGATGACTTTTTGGGGAATAGAGGGATCCAATTCACTGAGCACAAATCTATTCAGAGTAATATAAGACATAATCTTATCTGAAATTCTGTGACACTTACTTGCTACTGTGCTTTAAAAACACTGACCCCAGCATCCTGTTCACTCTAATTGCTCTCCCTCCTTGTCTAAATATGTTTTTTACGAGAACACTATACCATTACCTCAAAGTCTCTAATTCTTCTTGCCTAGCTTGACTACATTCATTTCTGATACATTTCACCTCCTTAATGTTGTGCCTGAGATGAATGGTTTCTTACTGATGTCTCTGGCTCATATCATTCTAGCTACATTTTATTTGCTGCTCACTACTCTCTGTGGCTTCCATGTCATAGCAAAGTGATCTTTCAAGAACTCTTTCCTTTTAAATCATTCACTTAAATCAAGAACATTTGAAAGTTGACCGTTATGTCATTCTTTCAACATTTGTTGGTTTCAGAGAAAGTGCTGTATGTTTTTATCTGGTTTTCTTTCCATGCGGACACCCAGAACTGGATGATCTCTACAGTCTTCATCTTTAATAGAAGCCTGTCAGATTTACTTTTAATGATGGCTCTGTAACTATCCTGGGAAGCTTCCCTCTACATTTCTCCCCCGAACTTCACAACCGTTGAAGATGTGTCTACTCCAAAGTATTCATCCCAGCTTCCAAACTTGCCATATGCTTGGGGAAGGCTTTGGGAATTCAGTGAGTGGTAACTGCACACCTAAGGAGTAAAAGCTTGTTTATACCACTGATAATTATACATTTTAATACAGAATGATACTTCCTTCAAATGTTTTCCAGTTTTCTGTGCCACAAGCAATTTACCTGAACACTAAGCATTAACAATGATAGTGACCCTAAATCAGGACGTTATTGTAGGCTTTAAAAGAAGTAGTGTTTAACTGATTTGTACAAATTCAGAGAATTTGAGAGTGCAAACTACATTAGTTATTATTTATCCTTACCAGAATTACAGATTTCTTCTTTGATACTAGAAAGCCATATGAATGAGATGGCATATTTCTTACACAACTTATCAGACAGATATCTTGGTGTATGGAAAACTGTAAGGTAATATGATCCTAAAGAGTCAGGAATGCTGATAGTTATTGCTATTTCTGTCAACTATTTATTCTGACCTTGTGTATACTTCTTTCAGAGAACTCTTCTATAACAAATAAACTAGTAATAGTTATTGACCTTACACAACACAACTGAGTCTCACTCAGCACAAGTGCATAAATATACACTGATCTGCCAGTGAAAAGACTCATAATGAATGCAAGGCAATGTTGTTATTCTAATGAGACAGAGTCTCCATTCACAGAGTACAATGCTACTTGTCCCCTCCTTCACAAAGTCTAAAATGTGTTAACATAAAAATAAAGGTATTTAATTTCTGGAATACATGAGTTAGTGGTTACACTTATTTTAAATCTCCCCATATGGATCATCAGTATAATACATTTGACCAACAAAACGACCCAAACACACTGCAGAGCTGCCTCAAATTGAATTAAGTGAACCACAAAGAATAACCTGAAATAAAACTAAAGAAACTCAGACTATAATGACCAAAACCTCCTAATTTCACTATAAACTAGAAGTAAGAGTTTACAAAAAAAATTAGAGAAATGCTTCACTTTGCTATTGTTCTCTGTCCATTCTGCTTTGTGATGGCTGTATATATGTGATTATATAAATATACATGTGCCTGTATTCTTATCCTGAGTAATCAAGCCAATCTCTCCTTGTTTTCAGTCCAGGACAAGTAATGTAATGTGGTTTTGTTTCTGTGTGTGAAATAAAACATAGATTTATACCCTAATGGATTGTCAGCGCACAGGACTGAGCTCTTATTCTCCTAACAAGAAGAAAATCATGGTTACTTTCTGATGGTCTCATACGAATGTTAATGGTGCCCAGGATATGGTTCACACTGCACTGGTGCTGCTTTTTAAGGTGCAGGTACTTGAAACGCCTGGTGACTCTGGCAGTGGCGAGTGTGCGCGTGTGTGTTTGTGCATCAGTGAATACACGTGTGCATGTGAGCAGAGGACAGGTAATGAGCAGAGACCTGTTCAAAGAGGAGAAGACAGACACAGGCTGGAGGGAGGCTAGCAAAAGCAAAGCAGGCAAGTTCCAACCCAAGAAATTTGAAAGAAAACAACCATAGCTGTTAGTGCACACTCCCAGATGACACCAGAGGAAATCTATATTTAGAAGCCAGTGCAAATCCTAAAAAGGGGTTGGGGAAAATCCATACCGATGGAGAGCAAATACATTGTTCCAAACCCTGTTCTAGAGATGGATTAAATACATACCTACAGAGAGCCCACAGAACAGACGGGATGCAGTTTTTCTGGAAGTTTTCACCATTGAAATATGATTTGTAGATTCATAATGAGGTCATGAGAGGAAAGATTTTATTAGGCAGCTTTGTTTATGTGAGATGTAATATCCCGAGGAGTACATGAGGAGGGAGGGAAGGCAAGTGCTGCTGTGTATCTGATAAGGGACATGGTAAATCAATGCTGTCATTTGGTTCAATGCTTGGAAGAGTTAGGCAGATGATTTGTATTTTATTAAAAAGTAGTTTTTGGAGACTTCAGGCAGTAATCTGGATCGGGCTAACATGCTGTACTCACATACAAAATTATTAATGGACTGTTCCAAGATGCTGTTCCTTACAATTAGTCACAATGAATGAAAGCCTTGGGTGGTACAAGAAATCTTGTCTACTCTATGTGAAAAGAAGTGATCCTCTTGATTTAGCTATGTAAGTTTCCTATGATGGGAAAAAGCTAGAGAAGGTTGCTGGTTTGGAGGGGTTTTTTCATGATTATGAAATGAGAGTGCTACTATACTGTGACAGGTTCTAATAATAAGACATACACACCCAGATGTGGGGGAGAAAGTAGGTAAAAGCCTCATCACTTGCCATGCAAGCTGTAAACATACATACCTAATGAGATAATCATACTTACTCCCTCCTCTCCCAAATACCATGAACTGCTAAAACCGCAATGGTTTCTAATGTGATACCTCTCCCACCTTCTGTCTCCCATGCCCAGTCACTAATGTGTAATCAGTCTGATGTCTCTACACATGACTCAGATACCCCTGTGCAGGAAGCAGATATCTGCATGCACTCCTGTGAAGCCTCTCCACATACAGGTTCTTCATAGGCAAGAGAACCTTTTACCTTTTATCCTAATGTCAGTTATTAAGATCTTTAATTTTTATACTTAGCGCAAACTCTCTAGTCATTGGGTGTTAATGTACAAATACAAAAAGGCAACTGAAGAAACACTTGTTGGCCATTCAAGATGTAGGTTTAGACAATAAGTGATTTTTACCAGCTCTGTAGAATTCAGAACATGACTGTGCTTTTTAATTATATGACACTTATTTACATAATAACATCTTGATGCATCAAATTGCAAACTTCTTAGCAGTGGTGTAGTTTCTTCACAAGTGTTTCTATAGTAGTTGATAAAATAAAAATATACAAACTCTGGCTGGGGTCTGTGAGCTTCAGGAATGCAAAAATTTATCACTGAAATATTAACATTCTTGTAAAGCTGACAGAAATTAGACTTTTTCAAGTCATAAGAGTATGGAAAACAAAGATACAGATGAAGTGTAAAACAGAGGTGTGCTACTCTTTATCATTACACTTCAGGGGAATCTATGAAATGATAGTAAAAAGCAACTAGTGCTTCCCTCAGTCCCCCCCAAAATTCTAATGCAGCAGTAAAATGGCGTATGTCAGTAATAAAAATAAAATGTCTATGACATTTTAAATGTTATCGTACTGTCACAGCGGAATAAAATTAGCTTGAAGAATGATCTAAAGGGATATGATGCAGTTCATTATGTATAACAGCAACAGCAGCAGTTTCCCAGTGTTCATAAAGGTTTCTCCATTAAATTTACCTCCAGTCAATAATTAGGAGTCCACAAATAAACCTAGGCAATTAAATCAATACTGCTGGGCAATTATGTTCCAAAGTCCTGGCTCAATGGCACAAAAAGACACTATATCAAACTGCAATATTAAGTGATCTGATGCAATTTTCAACCGAACATTTTGTCAGAATAACAGAAAAGGGCAAGCCTGCATCTTTGTTCAAGAGGCAAACGGGTACAGATTTTGCCAATCTGTATCATTAAACGAGCAGTCTGTTATGAGCAAAGTCCTGACAGAAAGCTTTCATTTCACCATGAACTTTAGTTTTCTGATCAGAACTATTACCAATGCCTACTAAAGGAAACCACAACCAAACTCCCTATGAGATATGAGTTAGGCATTTTAAAAGGCATAGAGCTCTTCCATGAGCTGCTCCCAAATAGACACCAAGAAATCTTAGCAATTTCCATCCATGTGACTTAGCATGGACAGAAATGAAAAGCAAAGCTGGCTGCTCCCAAAAAGCACTAATCTCCTTGTGATTCTAAAGTTGGTTGGCTTGCCAAGAATTACTTTTACCCTCAGAGCTCCTCCTGAGGAACCCCACAAGATGGAGCAAAAATCACTGAAAACCACTCTTAACTTGTACACAAACTGATACAGCTAAGAACAATGAGCTCCTCTATCCTTAGCTAACATTTGCAATCCTACTATAGCTGGTTACACTGTCAACAACACCCTCACTCTCTGTGCCCTGGTTTTTGCTGCCTGTCTCTATCAGAAGAAGAGAAGTGATAAAATTCTGCTTAGGATTTTTAACTATCTACCTAAGAAAGATGACAAAAAATAGAGTAAGAATTCTCTGTCGTATTCCATGAATCTGAGTCCTATTTTGGAGTCCATAATATGACAGAATCTTGAAATTTATAGATTTAAAAAAAAAAATCTCAAAATGAAGGCAATTTAGTAAATAGAAATATTTGTGCTTTTACTGCTGAGACCCATGTAACACTACGAGGTTAAATTAAAATACCAGTATTTCTGACAAAGCCATCAAAAGCAAACTGATAATTCCATCTCCTCCAATGCAGAAATTAATCAGTCTTAATGGTAGTAAGTTTTGATAAGGAAAGAAGGAAAAACTATCATTTCTTAAAAATCTGGTCATAGGACACAATCTAGACACAAAAGCTATTAATGATAAAATACATAAAACTGAATGTGACCGTTCCCTTGAAATGGCTTTCAAAGTATTTTCAATCATTCACGTTCTTAACAGAAATGAACTATATCGCTAATGGACCCATGCTAGTGAATATGCATTAGGAACACTGGATTTATAAATCAAATTTTATTTCTTTTCAGACATCAGCTACCCATCATCTGAATAAAGGAGACAACTAAAATATAATGGAAAAGTTTCAGGAGTCAGTGTATGTTTTCAGTGATGTGTGTGGGCAAAAAAAGGCGGGCCTCCCCCCTGCCAATAAACTGCCCTTGATCACTTACAAGAGGGGAGCATCCCAGCAGACTCTGTGTGTATTAAAAAAAAGACTTGAAAGAGAAGAAAAAGTATCACACAGGTCACAGCAGCAGTCTCAATGGACCCCTCAGGGATTTCTGCTAGTCTCAGCCTTGTCATCCTCTATGCAGCTTTCCTCTCTGCCCAGAAAATGTCGATAGGAAAATGTTTGAGGGGCCTCTGGTGGAAATTTTTTCATTCTTTCTGCATTGACAGGATGCCAAATCAATATTTACTTCCCACTAACAAGCTGCTCGAGGTCTCAGTAGAAAATATTGTAGAGAATGCGGGAAGACACGATAATAAACAGCTGTCTGGCTATGAGGAAAACATGAATTGACTGGAAACAGGTCCACAGTAAAAGGTCACTGAAACCCATGAACTCCTCAGGTGTCCATATCAACTACTAACTTTAAAGGCACATAATAAAAAATCTCTTTTTCCTAAGAGGTATGAGAGAATGGATCCTTTTCAGTCTAGCAAGCATTACACACTATCTCAATAATTCAATTAACACATTTGCCAAGATCTGTGCTGGTTTTCTACAGCATTTTTTCACTGTTTTCAGCTAAGTTAGCTATCACAAATCCTTGGTTAACATCTCTTCAGTTTTATCCAGTGACTCTTATTTTAAGAGAAATAAAAAGGAAATGCTACAAAACAAGGATTTTACACTGCCGTATCACAGTATAGTTTGGGACCATCAATGGCAACAGAATTACAAATGCAACAGATTACTTACAACCTAAAACCACTTAGCTACTCAGAATAGAAAGTTGTACTTCGTTAAGGGAAGATGTAAATTTAGTACCTGTGCTTCAAGAAGTTTCTGTATATACTGCAGCCATTCTTTATCTTTTTCAAATTCCATTTTTGTCTTTGCTGTTTCCTAAAAATAGAAAAATGTAACAGACACAATATTTTGTACACCACGGGAGAAGAACATAATGAACAATAAAGGAAATGTGTAACTGGATATACATTAAATAAACAGCATGTGCAAGTGGGAACTATGCTTGCAAAACTAGTTATCTGAAGCATATCTACCAAGTATGAGGGCTCTGTTAAATTTATAAATCTATCCTTGTCTGTGATTGTCCCTAGAAACATGCACGGCATGTTCTTTTCACATGAATATACAGGTGTACATGTGATCTATGTGTAAATTTTATGAGTTCAATATAAAGGTTCCTGAGTCTACACACTGATAAATGGAATATGTATCTAAAATTTGTGTAGTGTGAATTCATCACCTGTATTTTAAATTTTTTTTCTATTTACAGTTAAGTATATTTCTGTGTTTTACATATATATTCACAACAGTGATTACAACAAAATATATAGGATGTAGAAATTACTTTGAGACTGAGGTAAGCATGGAACAATTTTGTCAAAGTGAATCACTTTACAGGGATGTATAAATGTTAATAAACAGAGCAGGGATTGGTCCATTTTATTTGTACTCATGAATGTAATCCATATCAGTGAATACACATACAATACACCTTTATTTAACCAACATGAAAACTCTCTTTTGTGACTTCTGTAATATAAAGCTCCAATAAGGCTAAACCTAAGTCATCACCAGAGTACTGCTACAGCCCAATAATGGCCAACTCCTAGACACTCTTATTAAAGTAAGCGTACAGGCTTTTTTATGTATTATTTGATCAGGCCTAAATAAATCCGGATAAGAAATCCTATTACTGTATCTATTTAATAGAGGGTGATTTGATGAAACACTATCAAATATTTCATAGTAAAATGTACGACAGAATCAACAAAAAAAGGCAATGGATTCCCCCAGAAACCATCTGTCTACTAGAAATACCTTTAATAGGTATCACAATTCAAGAAAGGAAGCATCAACGGAATCAATCTGGCACAGCAAGACACATTCTAATTTTGTTTTCATTAATGCAGACGTCTATTTAAAATGTATAACCCTGCCAAACAGTCTCATGAAAAAGGAAACTACTAAGGATTTTCACATAATATCTCTACATCTATATACTCAAAACAGTATATTTATATTTTATTTATGCATACCCGAAGTCTTGCTACCTTATAAGTCTCTAACCTGACCTTTTTATTTAAACCTAGCTGTTCTGTTCTTTTTGTGCTGGATGATGCACAATGAAATTCCAGTCTTTACCTGGAAATCCTTTTCCTCAAGAACAGAAATCCATAGCATCTTCTGATCTAGCTCCTTTTTACTGAAGAGTCCTTAAAATAACTTACCTCATCATCTTCTACTTCTAGTATCTCCTCAAGATCAGTTGTTGAAACATTAAGGATAGACGCTGCCAACTGAACAGACTCTTGGGAAAGACCCTTTTTGCACGCTCTCACTTCTCCCATTTTTTTTGCCTGTTTGATTTTTATTCTCAGCTCTTGTACACTGTGCTGTAATTCTCTGGTTAGAGCCTGGAAGATGCAAGCAAATAATACTCCATTGCAATTTTTCTTAAAGAGCAAACACTATGTAAAAAGCAGTATCATTTAGACTAAGCTCCTTTAGATGGCAATTATCTTCATTCTGTGTTATTGGTTCAATAGGATACATGCTGTAAATATTAAATAACATACTATTTAGGACACAAAATATGAATTAATACATTAAACCACAAAAATGTTCTTTAATATAGGTACAATTTTTTTTATGTCTTTAGCAAAATAACTATATTCATAATGCCATCAGTAGTAAGACAAGACAGCTTCCACAGAATCAATTAAAAATCCTTTCCCGATCCAGTCTACCAGAAATGTTCTTGAAATAACAACAGAAGTGTCAGGCTTTACTGTGTAAGACAGATCTTTTTAAAGCTTATTCATACCTCACTGCATGAAGAAACACCAGTATACCTGTTTATTCAAAACCTGAAATTTTGGTTCCCATCAAGACAGGGTAATTCAAAACTGTCCTGGCTACTGATTCTTCCTGATACAATTTCTACAATCTACATCATTACAGTAGTGGTTTTCCATTGTTGATAAGCAGCATACCCTTGGAGCACACAAGTCCACCATATTATTCTTCAAGGCTTGCATGGGAAGGGTTGTATTCTCTAAGCAGCTGTCCCATACTGAAGGCCTAGCCAGGCCAGGCAGTCTCTTCTCAAGGGTGCTCTTAGCAGACAGTAGGTGTTTTAAACAGGTACCAGTTCAGGTGGCAGGAGAAAGATCAGGTGCCAGACCAGAACCACTGCAATTGTTCTTTAACCCTGGCTTTGACAAGGTCTTAAGTAGGGGTGCCAAGAGAAGACTCAAATTTTAGATGCCATTTCTGCTATGGAAGACTTTTAGTTTTAAGCAAGAACTAGAGCTTGATAGGATGTCTCATGCTGCTAATGCTGCATAATTAAACTGCCTTTATTATCATTACTACTATTACTAGTGACTAATGAAAACAATAATAATAAAGGGCAATTTGTCTGTGATCATTTCTGAAATGTGGTATACACTGCTAAGCCAGAAAGATGCTCGCAGCTTAAAAAAAATCCAGAAAAACAGAAGAATACTATTAAGAGAAAACTGTTCGAAAGGTTTAAATGATAGCAAAGGAGAACCATTATCTGGAGTGGAAAAAAGGGATTACCAGGATTTAGTAAAGCTGATGTAAAAACCTAGGAAAAGTAAAAAATAGAGAGATGACTAGACAAAAAATCATAATTGCAGTTAATGGGAAAGAAGAAACCCAGCAGGGGTGAGACCACTCTCCTTTGTTATTTAAAACTAGAATAAAAGAAACAGTATGAAACATTTTGCTGAAAAGGCTTTGTTGACCTGAGTGAAAGCTGAATGGAATCCAAACCTGGTTTTGGTTTTTGTTCCCAAACACCATACAAGTACTGAGCTTGAGTAATACTTTTCACAGCTAAACATGAGCCAAAATGAACAACAAAGAATTGATGGTACAAGTTCCTACCTCTCCTATTCCTAAAGTTCCCTGGTTCAATGAAATAACACTAAGCATTAGTATAAATCATTGGTTGTATAACTGAAGTTATTTTGTTTCAATATTTATACAAGTATGACAAAAGCATTTTGTCAGAAGCAGAGCAATACACTTTTATTTAAAAATTGTTGGCTGAGAGACAAGAGCATTAACTCATTGCCAGAAGATCCTCCTAGTGTATTCAACTTTCATGACTCAAGCAGAACTGTGATTGTCAACACAGACACCTTGGCTGAGTTTAAAATGAGAGAATAAGGTTTTCTTTCGATCGTCCTATGTGGGGCTCATCTTATTAAGCTATCTCTCACCACTGGCTGATAAACTCCTGAAAATTCTTTTTCTGCAGAATGCCTTCATCTCATAGAAACTGACTGCAGAATTATTAAGGCTGTTTATTGGCATTTGGGGTAAAGTACTCTACAGTCTCTAATGTATTCAAAACCAGTCATTAGAGAGCATTTGCTGATATGTTTCAAAGAAAGAACAATGGATTCATCTGATTCCAAGCTGCCCAGAGATGTTGTGGAGTCACCATCCCTGGAAGCGTTCAAAAAACGGGTAGACGTGGCACTCCGGGACATGGCTTAGTCCAGTCTACCCTTGATTGGTTTAGTGTGGACTTGGTAGTGTAGGTTAATGGTTGGATTGGATGATCTTAAAGGTCTTTTCCAGCCTAAACGATTCTATGATTCTAAGATGTGTTTATTTTTTTACCACTTCCCAATTTCACATTTTTCTGTACTTAGCTAAAATTTAATTATTAAAACCAAAATTACCCTACCACAAATCTGAGGAGAGAAGGTAAGATGAAATTTGTCCCATTTTCTGATTCAAGTGTGGTTCCCTCCATCCACAGTATTTCCAACAAAATATCTTGTACATAGACAGAGCTGAGAGGAATGAAGAAACTGAAATGTTATAGGCAGGGAGTTAGGGCAACTTGGACCAAGCTCATACGAGGAAATAGACTACGAGAGGAGAGAGCACCAAGCAGAAAAGCACACACTATGAAAAAGAATTACAGATAAATCACAACATGTTTTTGTAGCATTTGAAATGGTCCAACAGTAAACTGGCTCCTGCAACATGTAGGAGATATATTTGACAATGGGAAAATAATCTCAACTGTACTTTTTCAATCAAATTGAATCAGCTTCCCAAATTTTAAAAGTAAGGAGATGTCTCTTAGACATAGGTGATCAGGCTAGAAGATGCACATTTGTATACTAGTGCAAAGAGGAAATGTAAATTAAAGGAGTAAAATACCAAGGAAATTAACTGCAAAGCCACATGGAGAACTACAAATAACGATAACTAGCTGAGCACAGACAAACAAAAAGCATGATAATAAACAAAGTTAAACGTTCACTTGAACATCTCAGACAACATATACCCATTGCCAGACAAAAGTCTTATGATATTATTAGATAAATCTTATTGATGTATCCAAACTCCAGAAGAGGTTCAGGATGAATGAACAAGCTGATACCAAGAGCAACAGTGGAACCCAGAAACTGCAGCTCCACTGCACTTGTCTTTTAGTTCAGAGTTCCAGAAAGGAAAGTACCAGAAAGACCCTGAAGAATCTATAGCAGCAATTTAAAAAAGGGGGGGGGGAAAAAAAGAAAAAAAAAGGAAATTTAAACAAAAAACAAGGAAAGAGAAAATTGTAAGTAACAGATTTTGATATGCAAGCATACATATTATATATAATCACAGTAGATCATACATACAAGAGGACTGGCACTTCAATTCCTTTTTCTCCCTGAGCAGTTCTAATACATTAAAGCATGGGCTTTCACCACACATGAAAAATAAGGCTACTTTATGGACTTCCAAATTGGACTCTCAGAGATCAGCTATTTTTGAACCTGCCTTCTTCACATTATTAAGTTGTAATAGTAATGTTTTGATATACATTTCTCACTGGATATGTGCCTTAAAAAATCCCTATGATTTCAAGTTGCTTTTTCTGTTGATATATCTTCATCCGTCACATATAAATATATTCATGTGCTAAATTGTTTACTTATTAGTGATTGCATTTATATGTCAATTCATGCTTTACTACAGAAATGCTCAATGTCAAAGCCACACAGGTCTTCAACTGAATTATGAAGAACCATTTCCAAACTGAAAATGACAAAAACCTAAGAGTTAACCAACACAGGTTTTGTTGGTGAGTGTACCAAAGCTAGTATAATATCATTCTTTGATTAAGAAATTGATCCAATGCATTCTGGAGCTAAGTGTAGAATTTTAAACTAAAGCTTTTACCACTGTGTATTTCAGAATTGCTTGTTTTTAAAATTATAAGCATACATGGGTGATACAAACTGCCTGCAATGAAATCAATGTAGAATATGACTTCAGTACTGTAATGATGTATGATAACAATGCCTTTATTAGTACTAGTAATACTAGGATTTGATCTTTTCTCTTTGTTTTTTTCTTTGGTGTCAAACCTAGGGGCTATTTTGTTAGTAAAGCCATTTTCCCAAATTAGTTGTTACCGTCAGAGTTATTCCTGTGGGACACACTTAGCTGCTACCAGGCAACTAGAAGAAGAATCCCTGATTAATTCCTGAACACAAACGTACACCGCATCTTGTTGGACCAGTGCAATCACTACTGGTCCAACTGGAAAAAAAAGCTTAAAATTCTAACAACATCAGCTTAAAGTACCCAGCTCTATTTAATCAGTAGCAATTGTTGCATCATCTAACAACTCTATATGGTTATATAGAATATATTACATCTACTGTATTGCATACAGTTCTAAAATATCTCCCTTGTAAGCGTTCTTACTTTATTTTCACCAACCAAAATATTCATTCTTAAGACAATAGTTTTCAATTTTGGTCTCAACATGCAAACACTTTTTAGCACTTTTGCCAGTTTTGAGAAGTACAAAAGCAAAGGTATTTTTTCATTTAAAAGGTCATATTTAATTAAACACTCAAAGAAGCTGTGGTGAAACACAGACCCTGACAACACACTATTAATAAGGTCTTTATATCCCAAAAAGCTCTCACACTAGTTGATCCTGGAATTGATACAAATTGATCAATGGCCCCAAGTAATGCCATATGACTGTCAATGTCTAAAATTATTCTCGTAATTACCATGTTAATTTACACACACTATTGTTATTGTTTGTAGTATAATAAAACTTAATGGCCCCAGACAGACCAAAGGCTGGTGCTAGCACTGTAGCTATGTATAGCCAGATTTCAGTCTTGCACCGGTGCAGATCTCATGGCAGAAGCTATGGCTCACATTAGTTATGGAAAATTTTAAGCTTTACTGTGCTTTGTACTATAGTAATAATGTTGTGATGGGTCTGGTTGGGATGGAGTTAATCGTCTTCTAGCAGCTCCTGTGGTGCAGTGTTTTGGATTTTTGACTAAAACAGTGTTGATAACACACCAGCTATTGCTGAGCAGTGCCTGCACAGCACCAAGGCCTT